AGCCAGGCAGGGGAGCAGACCATGGGGCTTTTATTACCCCGAGTGACCTCATTTCCCAATATTCCCCTTTTCTCACTGCTAATTGCAGCAGGGCCCATCTTGTCAGCCAAATGGGCACCGCTTCAAACCTCAGGCTGGCTTTTCGATTTTCTTTAATGAGATGAAATCCTTCAGACCTGAGCTGTGGCAGCTGGTCCCTGCCCTGGGGGGGTTCCTGGTCCCTGCTTTGGGAGGTTCCTGCTCCTGCTGGGAAGGTGCCTTCAGCCTTTGTGAAAGCTCAGTGCACATTGCACATTGTGCAGATCAGCCGCTGGAACCAGCCCCTGGCATTCCAGGGAGTGACCCTACTTCTCCTGCCTGCCCTGCACCCCACAGTGTGTGCCTTATGGAGCCCTGAGTCCCAGAACTGCAGGGTGGCACCAAGGACATGCAGGAGCAGTGCTGGTCTGAAGGGCTTCCCATGACAAAATGGACTGAGGGAGACCCTGAGGAAGGAGGGAGCTCAAATCCTTCTGCCCAGCATGGGGCTGTGCAGCCTGACCTGCCCTTTCACCAAAACATAGCATTTCTAGCCTATCTGGCAACAACCTCCTATGCCTCTTCCAGGGGAAATATGAAGAAAGATTCCTGAAGGATGAAACCATCTCCCAGCAGATCAACTCTGTGGAATCCCTCCCGGAGCTGCACCTCTCTCTGGAGGAGAAGAAGCCTGAGCAGCTCTTGCAGAGGAAGCTGCGGGTGAGGGGCCGGCCTCCTTCCAAGCCCACCATTGTCCGAGGGGTCACCTACTACAAAGCCCAGTCCACCGAGTCAGAGAACGACATCGAGGAGCAACGTGAGTTGGGTATGCAGCCATGGTGGGATGGTGGCTGCATCCCGCAGCAAAGCCAGTGCCTCATCTCCTGGGAATGTGGGGGCAGAGTGTGTGGGAGCACAGGGGCAGGTGGGACAGCTGGTACCTCACTGCTGTGCAGCCTTTGAGCTGTACCTGCAGGGCAGCGTAGCATGGGTATTCCATGGAAAATCTCTGATAGCTAAGGAAATAGCTCACTTCTTTGGTTCAAAACACCCAGCATCAACACCTTTCCAGAAGTAAATGGGGGTTTATTCAATATGCTTGTGTTTCAAACCCGCCTGCCCGATGGCATCCCGGGAGGATTGTGCAGTGTTTGCTGCCGTGGAAGGCAGTTCAGGGCTCGTGGCCCAGGCTGGGAGCAGGGGATGAACCCTCACAGACCAGCGGGGCGGGCAGCATGGGCAGGGCAGAAGGGCAAGTGCCCTCGCTGTGCAGACTGGCTCAGCAACGACATCCAGCCCTGCCCTGCAGGGGTTTGGGAGCTCCTGGAGATAAGGAGGAGCAGAGGGTGCCCGTGCTGGCTGGGGAATCCCAGTGATCCCCGTGCTCCTGCTTTGGATCCTGGGTTAGGTGAGTGGGATCTGGTTTGGAACGCAGCTGGGTCTCCATCCTGCCCATTCTCTGGGAGGTGGCAGGGCAGAATTGGTTTCTGTCACTCTACCTGGCCCGAGGTGGTGGATGTCACTGTGATGGGGCCTCACTCACCTCCTGACATGGGCACTGTCAGCCTCAGGGCACGTGGAGAGGGAATGCAGGTGGATTTAGTACCAGCCAGCCTGCAGCAGTGCCCAGGGAGCCGGTTGGAGGGGCCTGGCTCCCCTGGCTGCAGGCCTGACACCTGTGCCTGTGTTTGGCAGCAGACGAGCTCTTCAGCGGGGACAACACGGTGGATCTGCTGATAGAGGACCAGCTCCTGCGGCCCAGCAGCAGGGCAGGCGAGCCCGTGAGAAAGCCCTCCCCAGTGGGGTGGCCGCCCACCCCTGGCATAGCTCCCACCACCATGCCAGCTGCGGGCACTGCTGTGACACCCACGGTGCCGCTGTCCCCTGCCACGCCAGAGCCCACCGCCGTGAACCGGCTGACCCCCGCCCCGGAGGCCGTCACTGCCCCGGCAGGGCTGGCACAGGAGGGGACCCCACAGCTGCCAGGCACGGCCAGCACAGGGGTGGCCACAGCCACAGAGAACTTGCTCGTGGCCACCCCCACTGGAGGCTGGGGTGACACGGAGTCCAGCCCGGGAGCTTGGGTCCAGGCAAACACCCCCGCAACGCCGGTGAGCCCGGCCATCCCTGCCACGCCAAAGGAGGGCCTGGAGGAGGAGGACATCAGGAACATCATTGGTGAGTGCCTGCAGCTGCTGCGCCCATCCAGCTTTGTGAGGAGGGGCTGGCTCGTGCCCACAACACATCCTGATAAGCACAGCACACCTGGATTCGGTCACAGGTGGGAGGTGTCATGGAGATGGCACTTCACTGGGGTGCCAGGTTTAATTTTTAACTCTGGAACCTACTGTAGTTTCCTCCCACCTTTAGGGGTTGGGTTGGGCCGAGCAAAAAGACACGGGACCTCAGATGGTCAGCAGCCTCAGCTGGAGCAGGGACATGGCTGAGGCTGTGGGGAGATGTTTGTGGGGTCTGGCCAGCCCTGCTGCGCCTCACAAAGCTGCACCAGAGCCAAGGTGGCAGAGGGTACCTGATGGGTGAGCAAGGGGCTTGGGGAGGATGGTGCCTTCAGGGAGAGCATGGCCACCCTGCCTCTGGCCTCACAAGCCTTTCCTTGCCCATGCAGGGCGCTGCAAGGACACGCTGTCCACCATCTCGGGGCCCACCACCCAGAACACCTACGGGCGCAATGAGGGAGCCTGGATGAAGGACCCCCTGGCCCAGGAGGAGCGGATCTATGTCACCAATTACTACTATGGAAACACACTGGTGGAGTTCAGGAACCTTGACAACTTCAAGCAAGGTGGGTTTGCACCATCTCTAATACCATGCTAGCCACCACTGAGCTGATCCCCGTTCCTGGGGATGATCTGCCTAGGGACCTTCCACTCTTGGGTGCTGGCACCCGGTGTGCAGGGCAGAGAGCATGGGACAGCTCAGGCTGTGGATGGTGGCCAGGGAGGGAGTGTAGGCAGAGCTGTGGGCAGAGGTGCTGCTGGCATGGCCACTCACCCCACAGCAAAGGGAGGTCTCAGCAGCCAGGTGTGTCTGCCCTGCAGGTCGCTGGAGCAACTCCTACAAGCTCCCGTACAGCTGGATTGGGACAGGGCATGTTGTCTACAACGGTTCCTTCTACTACAACCGGGCCTTCACGCGCAACATCATCAAGTACGACCTGAAGCAGCGCTACGTGGCCGCCTGGGCCATGCTGCACGACGTGGCCTACGAGGAGTCCACCCCGTGGCGGTGGCGAGGCCACTCGGACGTGGACTTTGCCGTGGACGAGAACGGCCTGTGGGTCATCTACCCGGCCATCAGCTACGAGGGTTTCAACCAGGAGGTGATCGTGCTGAGCAAGCTGAACGCGGCCGACCTCAGCACCCAGAAGGAGACCACGTGGCGGACGGGGCTGCGCAAGAACTTCTACGGGAACTGCTTTGTCATCTGTGGGGTCCTGTACGCGGTCGACAGCTACAACAAGAGGAACGCCAACATCTCCTACGCCTTTGACACGCACACCAACACACAGATCATCCCCAGGCTGCTCTTTGAGAATGAGTATGCCTACACCACGCAGATAGACTATAACCCCAAGGACCGCCTGCTCTACGCCTGGGACAATGGCCACCAAGTCACTTACCATGTCATCTTTGCCTACTGAGACCCCCCACCACAGTGGGGCACTGCAAGCCAGGGGCCACCAGCACCTTTTATTATTATTTTTATTGTTATTATTGTTATTTTGTACAAATTGAAGAGTAAATGATGGGTTTTGTTTCAAGCTGGTTTTTTATGGTGGATTGTAGATCGATCCCCAGGCCAGAAGCACTCCCTTTGTCTTTGCTGTATCCTTGCTTCTGATTTTCCTTCCCAGGGGAAGGAGGTCCTCCTTTGGAAGGGCAGGCCCGGCTCTCCTACCTAGGGAAGAGGAGGTGGCCCAGACACCGTCCTCCTGAGGATGTTTTTAGCTGGAGATGATCAGCAATACACCCTGAAGCAGTGCAAAGCTGCACGCACCAGGTCCCAGCGGGATGCTGCTGCCTGCCTGTCCTGGTGGAGGACCTGCATGTGCCATGGGAATGTCCCGTCTCTCAGGACCATCCTCCCAGCTGACGGCCAGCAGGCCCCTTGGAGATCCTGCTGTACATGGGGCTGCGAGCACGGCTCCAGCAGCCCCTGGTGCTGGTACTTACGTCAAGGACTGTCCCCTCCAGCCGGGGCTGTGCTCTCCCCCCTGGGGGGCTGGACGCACCCCGAGCCCTCACTCATGCCTGGAGGGAGCTGGCGGCAGGAGGGGGATGCTGTAAATACGTGTAGATGGCTTTTGTTTGTTCATCTTGTAACCCAAATAGTTCCCCTTGGCATTTGCTGGTGAAGGCTCTGCTCAGCTGGGCACTGGGCTGCCTGGGCAGGGGCTGGCAGAGCCCTCGCTGTGCCACTCCACCTCCTACATTCCCTCTCATGCCCATGCCCGCCCTGGTCCTGGACCACCAGGATCCCCTCAGAGAGGCACAGCCCTCGCCCTCCTGCCCATCAGCATCTTGTATTTACCTGCTGTCAGTAATAAAGGATCCAGTACCTTTGCAGCTGTTCGGGGCTTTCTTTGGCTCTGCTTCACCCTCTGGGTGCATGACAATGCACAGGGGTGTTTTGCGTGGGTTTTGGTTGGTTTGGGGAGAGCCAGTTTACACACCAGATGGGGACAAACTCCAGAGGGCTTTAGGCTGCTTGGGACTGCTACTGGGGCAAGGTGACATGCCATGTTCAGCCCTCATGGGCTCCTCTGGCAGGCTCTGGGTGAGCAGCTCGTGTAGGGTACCTGCTCTCCAGCAGCAGGAGGGGGACAGGGTGGATGTGCCACGGGCACTGCCAACACTGTGCCAGGCAGAGCCCACACTGCACAGCCCAAGAGATGGCAGACCAGGGCAGGTGTTCCAGTAGTTTGCCTAAGGAAAACAGTATTAACAAGCACAACAATGAAGTTACTTGTAATAAATAAAAGAAGGATTTTACTGCCTTCAGTAGTAGGGACACAGAGGACAGAATTACACAGCATGAGCGATGCTCTCCACCACCAGAGCCCAGGGCTGCTGACTGAGGATGTGGTGCTGCAGCAGCCCTTCCCAAGGTTGTGCCAGGCCCAGCCACCACCCCAGTCCCCTCCCCAGCTCCCTGGCAGCAAATTCCCCCAGAGCAGCCAGCAGCCCCTACCCACGGCTGCGGGGAGCCGCGTGCCTCTGGCTGGGGCACCGCTGGGGTTTTTATTTCTGACTGTTGTGAGCTGGCCCACAGTCAGGTGGGGCCAGGCCAGGAAAATGAACTGGTGTGAGCAGCACAGCCAAGCCCAGCTCCCTCCCAGCACTGCTGGGGACGTGGCAAAGGGCACAGCTTCCCCAAGGTGCTGCAAGGCACATACTGCACAGGGGTGTATTGCCCCTCATCCTCCTCCTCCTCACTGCCCCTGGAGCTGTCTTGCTGCGGGATCAACCTGTATTTCCTACCAGCCACACACATACATTAATAATAATTATAATAATTAATAATTAATAATTAATAACCCCATATGAGCCAGTTAGCACTCAAACCATGAAGGCAGCTGGCTGGCAAACTGAAGCTCATCATCCTCTTCGCAAAATGCACAGGGGAGAAAAAATAATGTAACAACATGCTGAAGTCATTATGCAATGCTGATGCTGTGCTGGCGGCTCGTCCCAGCTGAGCTCCAGCGTGCTGGAGCTCCTGGGCCCAGCTCTGGCCTGGGGCTCGGCTGACAGACAAGGAACAGTGAACAGAGCTCCATCTGCAATGGCAGCAGTGGGCTGGGGCCAATGGAAGCCTCCTGGCTGTCCAGCGAGTGGCTGGCTGTGCTGGTGAGGCAGACAGGGCTGAGTGTGTGTGACACATGTGTGGCTTCAGGAGAAGGTGCTGTGGCTCTGTCCCATGGAACTGAAGCATTCCCAGCTAGTGCTGCTCCAAGGGCAGTTGTTAGCTGTGAAAAGTATTAAATAGCACACACAAAAAACCCACGCAAACAAAAACCAGGAAGAAAAAAACCAAAACTCAAAAAACCTAAACTTTACAAATGCATCTGCTGCATGAAATCACTTCCTTTGGGGCAAGCCTTCAGCCGTGCAGCCACGTGGGCCGGGGAAGGCAGCAGCAGGATCCTGGAGAGCCAGGCAGGTGGGGGTGGGCAGTGCCTCATCGGGCAGCCCAGCCCCAGGGCAGTGGGGCTGTTCTGCTTGTAGTGCTTTAGTGGTGAGTGAGGGGCCCCAGCACCCTCCTGAGGGGCTGGGCTGGGCTGCTCCACCACACTGCTGCATCCCAGGGCTTCCTGCTGAGGGAGGCTGCATGGCAGGATTTGGGAGGGAAGGATGAGCAGTGGGGCTCTCTGGTCAGGCCCAGCACCTGAAGCTGGCAGCTGGACTTCTCCTGCTGCCCAAGCACACTGCAGGGAGAGCGGCCCCATCCCAAGTGAGGGTGTCTGCTGCCTTGTCTCTGGCTCATCAGCCCATCTCCGGCAGCCTAACAGGGACAGAAACGAAAACCAACCCACAATTAAGGACGGTGCATAAGCAGCAGGGATGGCCCGTGTCCCCCACGGGCAGGGGGCCCCCAGGACTGTCCCTGGCAAGGAGCCAGCCGGGCTGCGCTATCCCCGGGCCATGGGTGAGGTCAGGCACGGCTAAGGGGGCTGTCCCTGCTGTGCCCCCGTGCCAGGAGCCCAGCACCCGCTGGGAAGGGCTCAGGCTGGCGGCAGGAGCTGCTGCGTGCGCTGCCTCAGGATCTACTGCAGGGATTTGACAATGGCCCTCAGGGCATGGGGCGTCTCTGGCACCGACGGGGACGAGCTGTAGAAGGTGTCGCTGTGATTTCTGCGCTGCTCTCGGAGGTATGGAGGGACAGATGAGCTTTTGATGTGGAGGATCCTGGTGTCCATCACTTCGCAGTCAATCTGCATCATCACCTCGTAGTCCTGCCCATTGATCACATTCTCTGCAAAAGTAAGGATAAAAAAAAAAACAGGTCAGAGTTAGCCCTGCAAGCTAGGGATCCAACAGCACTAAAAGCAGAGCTTTCTGGACTCCTTTTGGTCTGGAGCAGGAGCTGCAGTGGGGGAACTCCCTTTCTGCAGCTGCACACATGGAGCTCCATCTCACACAGCAGAGCCCCAGACTGCTCGTGACACCTCAAAGAGCCCAGACCACACTTAGCATGTGCAGTCACACCTAGAAATTAATGTCTTTTATTTCCCCTTCTTCATCTGCACATCATTACTGATGGAGTTTGCACTATTTAACATTCATTAGAGAACTGTTGTACTTGAGCCACTAAAGCATGGGAGTAATTGAAAATACGGTTTATTTAAGAAAGCTGAATGTTTCACTTTCTGTAACCCTCTTGACACTGGGGACCTTGAGACATTTCTTCACCAGTTTATTAACAAAAACCCTAAAATGTGATCTCTCAAAAGAATTAACTGTGCCTCATTCCCATGCTGACCTGGCTGTTGTACTTGAGTGATGTGGTGGCACTGGGCAAGGCCACTCCCTGACAGAGCCCTGGGCACAGGAAGACCTTGAGCAGCACACAGGACCCCAGCGTGGCCCCCAGCCCGGGACATCTGCTGCCACAGGAGCTGCTGGGCTTACAGGCTGTGCACATGGCTAGCATCTGCTGCCTGGATTTAAAGGTGGGAGACTATTCCCTGCACAGACAGTGTGCCCAGGAATGCAAGAGCTGAGATTGGATTTCCAGGCAAGACCAATCCTTTCAGAGCCAGAAGACTGCCATTGGCTGGGCTTCCTCTCTGTGCTCAGGAGGATGGAAGATCACCTAATGGAAAGCGTATGGACTGGAGGAATGCAATATACATTACTAATTTTTACTGTTTTCCTGGATTAACTCTGACTCTGGATGACAGCTGAGGACCGTGGCCGGACCCTGTTGCACCCCACACCACCTGCAGAAGCCATTAGATCAACCATGTCTGGTACAGTAATGAAAGGCAGGAGCAAACCCTGGCTAAGGGGGCTGAGAGCCTGCAAGGGAAATCAAAGCTTGCACCTGCAAGGAAAGAAATGGAAAAAGCTCTATATGTGCCACCAAGAGACTAAGGCCAGGAGCAGCTGTGCAATCTCTGTGCCAGTGACCCAAAGCCCTGACGAGCACTGCACCCTTCCTGGATGCTGCACTGCTGATAAAGCCCTGCTATGACATAAGGGACCCTTTCAGAGGCCATTCCTCCAGGTCACCCCTTCTCTCTGCCTTTGGAGGTGCTCTAGGCTCCCAGCCACGGGCTCAGGACCAGTCAGCACAGGGAGCTGGGCTGCTGGTGCCACTCAGGAGAGGGGGCTGGAAAGGGGAGCAGAGGGGCACAAGGGGAAGCTGAAGGGCACAGAGCCTGGAGGCAGCAAATGGGCACAGATGGGCTCCCTGTGACACAGCAAGCAGGAAACAACTCCTCAGCTCTCATGCTGTAGTTGATGGAACCCCAGCTATGTGAGAAACAGTGCTCCAAAGCCACAAGTGGGTGAGGTGGGATGGGATGGTGGCCAGGGCCAGGAAAACATCCTGACAGTGCAGTGAGCTTCCCTGACTATTGCCAGCCAGCACAGAGGGCTATAATTAAGTTCTGGGCATTGCACAAGACAGAGGAGAACAGCAATCCCCAGGGCTGCCCAGGCAAGGCAGGGAGCTGTGCTGTGTGGGTGGCACTGGGGAACCAGCCCAGCCCATTCTGACCAGCTGGGATCCCCATCCCCCTGTGCTGACACAGCTCCCTCCCAACAAAGTGTGCCAGGATTAAGTAAGCCAGAGCTCTGCCACCCCATGGCATGAGGGGCTGTGTCTTCTGAGTCCACCACAGCAGCAAGAGCTGGGAGGAATCACTCCCATGACGAGCTCCTCTGGCCAGCAGGCACACAGAGGATGCACATCCTCCCCCCAGACATTCACAAATACACAAATCCTGCCCTCGGCCTGTGAGTTAGCCCAGGAGTTAAAGGCAGGTTTTAAGTCAGCACCTGATTCTTTCCCTTTTTGGGGTAAAAGCATTGAACTGCTGCAGAAAACCTCTGCAAAGGCTTTGATCTCACAGAGGTGAGGGCAGCAGTGGGAATGGCTCAATGCCCACTACAGACATTTCCAGCAGCCTTTCTCATTACCCTTAGCTCCAAACAGACACAGAAGAGGAGGTGGGATGTTCCTCAAAGACCACAGTTACTGCTTGGTGCTGCTGCCTGGCACCTGGCCCAGCCTCATTCTAAGGAGGGTTCTGAAAGCAGTGGCAGCCCCAGGACAGCCAGCACACCCCAGCCCAGGGAGGGCTGGTGCTCTGTGAATGCCCTTGTGATGGTCCCAGCAGAACAACAGGCAAATGTGACCCGAGTACAGCTGGCACAAGCCCCTGTTTGGGAAGACTAGCTCACTGTCATTGCAAAAAAACGATTCAACACGGCTCTGTCCTGAGCTCGATGCCATTAAACTCCTTCATGATCTGGATGAGGAATAGACAGCATACTTAGAAGATTTCTGGAAGATGCTAAACTGGAGAGATTCCAACGACCTTGGAGTGGCTAGATTGGATGAGACTGCAATTTTGATAAAAGAGAGAAGCTGTCCAAAATTTTCAGAATGTATTTCAACCACAGCCAGAGCTGGAAAATGAGTAAAAATGGGGCCGGGCAGAAGTACTACAGAAAAACCTTGAGGACTGCAGAGGATCACTGTGGATAAGCCAGCAGAAGGACAGGATTAGAAACAACAACAGCTCGACTGCAAGAGAAACATATTTAACTTTGACCAAGTTTCTAATGATAATGAAATACAAGCCCTGGATGAAAGTACCTTGGGTAGATGAGAAGATCTTCATGATGAAGAGTTTTTAAGGAAAGGCTGGAGGAGCAGTTGCCTGTCAAGCCCTTGGGTACCAGAGCTCTACAGACACTTGCATTCACTCCTGAACCTGAACCTCTGTAAGCTGCAGGTTCCCACTCCTGACCAGATGTGGTCAGCACCTTCCTCAAACCCAGCACCTTGAGCTGTGGGTTCTCTGATCTGATTCCCAGAACAAGCAAACGATATTGCCTGGTGATTCCTGTGTCACATCATTCCAAACCAGCCTTGTCATGCTTTCTCTCCTTCCCCTCCCGCGCAGTACCAACACCTGGAGGGGCAGAGGGGCAGAGGGTGGGTTTCCAGAGGGCTGTGCCCAGCACTGCCAGTGTGTGTTACACAAGGGCAACGCTGACACACACTGATCTTCACTGTCCTCAATTGCCAATGACCGATGTTTGGTGGGTTATGTAAATGAAAACACATCTCTTGCAAAGGAGAGATAGATTAATAATAGATTAACAGAGAGACAGATCAATAAATAGATTTATTGCTCCTCTTTGAAGTTCAGAACATACAGTTTTTCACACAGTGCAGACTCAGGCTAAAGAAGCTATCCTTGCTGGGCCGAGAGCCTGTGCTGCAGTTAATTCTTCGTTAACAGCTTTAAAAGCCATGCTTCAGACGACTGACTATTTCAAATTAATAGCAAAGGTAATTGTGCCAAGCGTTGCAGCTCTGACTGCACTTTCCCAAAGAGCCTTACTGGCTCTTGCAGGCTGTACCAAACTCCCAGCACGAGCTTGGTCTGGGGAACAGAAACCTAATTCCCAATGCTGCTCTCTCTCTAAAAATAATCACATTGCAAGATCCAACAGATGAAAGCTGAAGTCTGCAGTCCAAACCAAAACCAAATAGGGCTGAGGGCATTAACTACTGCTACAAATTACTGAGGATGATAGAAGATTGTCTTCATATTTGAAGCACTACATTTTAAAAACTGTAAAGGCCATAAAACCAAAACCCTCCTTCTTCCCTCAGCAGCACTGACATCCATCAATCAGCTGGCTGTTCAAATGTCTGTGGGATTGAGCACCTACTTCTATGGGAGATACTCTCTCAGAGAAAGGAAGAAGACAGGCAGAGAGCTTGAAAGGAGGCAATGAAACTTTTGTTCTGCAATTAGTAAGAACAAATGGTGATCTCAGCTCTTTCTACAGAATTCAACTTTAAACACACCATCAGGCTGTTTGGCCCTATGGACACACCTGTCTGAAAGAAGATGTAATTCTAGATAATTTATCCTTTCCTATTTACATCTTCCCCAAAAAGCTTTGCTGCAGCAAATGTTCACTGTGAAAACTGGTGTCTGCAGAGAAACTGAAACAGAGCTCCCCTGAAAGGCCACCTGAGCTTGCTGGACTGTTTCAAACACCATGGAAAGGTTTTACAGCTTTCTGAAGGTGCACTCATGCCATATGTACATTTATAGCGCCTTATTCTACCAGAACTATAAATTTTACTTTGCTCTCGGCAATATCACAGTGTATTACCAAAAAAATACTCAAAATACAAAAAATACAAAATACTCAAAATACAAAAAATACTCAGTGGCACCAATACTCTATCATGCAGTGAGGTCCTCAGTCCTCAGGCCCTTTTCTAAGGCCCCCAGTTGCCCTTGAAGCAGATAACCATGTGCCAGTACCTACTGGCTGCTTTCTGAGTAGGCAACTTTAAATGGTCAGAACCTGCCTGGCTCTGTATCTGCTGTGCTCACTGAATACACATTTTAGGTGCTGTCAGCCACACAGATCTGGACTACATGTCCTTACTCCTGCTAGGTACAGGGAGGGCAATCACTCACCCCGTCCTTATTTAACTACCTGTCTTTGTCAGTAAGGAGAGAGAATCATCCCCTCCTTGTGTGGGGGGTGGGGAGCAGAAGGTGACTTTGCTATCCATGGAATCAGTTTAACTGATGTCAAAATAGGAGCCAGCGAATCGCCCCTGTGTAAGGTGATCCAAACCCACCAACTCTATTAAAGCCATCTTTGCTGAACAGCTCCTCACACTCTGTTCTTTCCACAATTCCTTCTGAAGAGGAAGTTTCCAGTCTGTGTCAGCATTAATCTACACTTGGAGCCCCTTCTGCAGCC